CACGCACGCACGCACGCACGCACGCACGCACGCACGCACGCACACACACACACACACACACACACACACACACACACACACACACACACACAAAATCTGTGGACACATACAGTATTCTCAGACAAGGGACATTTGTTGCTACTTCTGTTTCTCGGATCTGCACAATATGGTCTCATTAGACAAACCCTCCCTGGCTGCCTGCACAAGAAAACGTCAGCGTGTGAAAGCTGGCCCTCTAGATGCCAGCCAACATTCCAACTTCAACCGACTTGGCTCGTTTGGCAGCTAGCCTGGCTGTCCAGATAAACACGCCACTTAGGCCTACGACCATCATCATCATCATGTGCTGTTCCGACAAACGTGAGCTGCCTTGGGCTCGACATCTTGTACGATCACCAAAATCTTGAACGAGGTAAAGTCGACCCAGACTGGGGAGATGGCACTTGATGATCATGACGAATATATATTTTTCATTCAGCTGCTGCAAACTCCAACCGAAAGTTCTTGATGTTGGTCCACTTCTGAACTTTGATCTTGCTCCAGAACTTGAGTTTTGCATGCGCAACCGTTTTACTCATCTGGCTTATCCTGTATGCAGATTTTTGGGTTCTTGTCTCTCAGGCCGATGCAATTCTGTTTCGAAGAAAACACCCATTAGTCCTTTTTGGTACTTAATTTATAACTTACCCCTGACGTCACGACAACGTCCCGAAAGACATTCCCAATAAATTCTAGGGTTTTCAGGTTGTAGTCTCTCGCGATTTCTCTACAGCCAAGTTTAGGGTTAGGGTTAGGGTTAGGGTAAGGATTAGGGTTAGGGTTAGGATAAGGGTTAGGGTTAGGGTTAGGGTTAGAAGACACTTGATGAACACTCAAAAACAGCACCACACAACAGCACACTTGCACCCCTTGAAATAATGGACTGTCAGGTCAGCTGTGGATTTCCCAGGGGAATTTCGTGTTTGGGGTACGTTATAAATTAAGAACCTCCTTTTTTTAACACCGTGCGTGTGTGTTTGTGTATGTGTTGGGGATGTGGGGGGGGGGGGGGTTCCCCTATCTGCCGCCCCTCCCCCGCAATAGGACCCTGGAACCCATGCGGGGATCGTGCAGTCTTATGCCCGAATAGCCATGATAGCACCACACGGGGGAATTACAAAGCCGAATTAGGTCAGCTGCTGTGACCTTGGACTTGGCGTAACTTTCTTGCGAAAGAACAGCACGTCCACAGGACAACCATCTCTGTAAACATCAGACAGTCACGTTCAGTGCTACATCACGTCAGACAAACATTGTCGACGTGTCCGTGCAAGCAGATTTAACTGGAGTAGATGTTCCTGAACACCTAAATGTACCGAAGTCACCTTCGGTCAGATTCTAAACAAAACAATAAGATTACGATGATACTCTAACCTTTAAAAATGCCAATGTTTGTTTTTCTATTCATAAATGGGAAAGGTTTTTTTAAAACAGTTTTTAAAATATGGGTCAGTTAATTTAATTATTGCTGAGTCCGTCGATTTTACTCGAATTTATTATATAGGCTTTGCACTTTTAAGTGAAGTGACATGTTTACCAATCACTGACAATTCAAGTACAATTTTCAAAATGTTAATTTTCAAGATATGAACATGATGATAATAATAACGTGTAGTAATAGTAGTAATACCATAGCGATGGTTGTAATTATAATAGACACCGTAGAAACGTCGGTGATCTATCAGTAACATCAGTAAAAGTAGTAGTAGTCACTGTAGTGGTACTAAGCGTAGTAGTAGTAGTAGTAGTAGTAGTAGTAGTAGTAGTAGCAGCAGCAGCAGCAGCAGCAGCAGCAGCAGCAGCAGCAGCAGCAGCAGCAGCAGCAGCAGCAGCAGCAGCAGCAGCAGCAGTAGTAGTAGTAGCATAACGTATCATCGAATTTATAAAAAAGGCATGGTTAAAAAGTGCACAATTGCGATTTGGCGTTTATGTAACATGTGACTGAAATACTTTCTAGATATCTGAAAAACGATTCGCCTGGTAAAATTAGCAGAAGGTAAATAAAAGCCACATCTGCTGCCTGTTCAGTCAGTGGAAAATAAACCCCGGTACAACTGGCGCCATAAATGTCTGTGCTCCACCATTTCTACAACTCATTACATAAGCTTCGACCTTGATATCTTCTCTGTCTCTAGCACCCTTTCTTTGGGTTGAGAAGCCCTAAAGGGAAGCAAAGAAAGGCAACACACACACACACACACACACACACACGCACGCACGCACACACACACACACACACACGCACGCACGCACGCACGCACACGCACGCATACGCACTCGCACTCGCACTCACACTCACACTCACACAAACACACACACACACTCACACACACACACACTACCAATCATGTCGTAAGAGGCAAGGAAAGGGTTTGCCTAGTTTATTGAGTAGAGCGACTTATATGCGAATGCCTAGCAACATGAATAGGTGTATGATGAGGAACTGCAAGCATTTTTTTTTTGTTAATAGGCATTTGCAGACTTTCAGACTCGGACATTGACACAAGAAGACGAAAGAAAACTAACCACCTGTTAGATGAGATGTTTGAGAATGGGTGTAAATAAAACCAGAAGAGATCAAGTAGGAAACGATGTGATCAAAAGAACTGTTGGAACAATACCCATCGTCCAATTTGTTGACAAACGAAGAGTGAAAAGGTATGGCCATATAATTTGAATGAAACCAACGATGCCAGCAGCGAGAGAGTACAACCTGAAAATCCAGACACCAAGAGGTAGGGGAAAACCGATAAGAAGATTAATTAAAGGAGTCACTGACACCTCGAGACTGCATAACATTACAGCATATCAAGCCATTGGCTCGGCTGTCGATCGTCTGATTAAAAACGACGCCTAGCGGCAAAAGCAGATTTTGACACACCCATTTAAAATAATAATATATGTGAAAAAATAGTCAAGGTATAAGCAAATGCTTACACAGAGAACATCCATACAGTGATAGGCGGATCATTCATCTCGCTTCATACCGTCTGGTTTCGGCGACTATGATGGCCGCTGACCAATGGTTTGTGTGTAAGATACAAAGAACACAACAGACGCCCCCCCCCCCTTTTACACACACACACACACACAAATGGTCAATTTATCAGATATTGGACGCAGATAATTACAATTTCCCACGCAATTTTTTGAAACTTAGGAAACAAACAATCCTGACAGTCAAACCTGGTGGGGAGAGACCAGGAGGAGACAGAGATTGCCTGGACGGCTTCACTGCTTAGCAAAGTGGTGACAAGACCATTGACCTGGCTCTCGAGACTACCTCAATAAACGGTGTGGGATAATAAAGGCTAGCTGTATATCTTTCTTTGTAGGACTACCAAACCCATCCCATCATTATGTTGTCTCTTGTCATTTTACTAATCACTTATTACATTCAGTTGTTTGCCATTGCTGTCCAAACGGCTCAGTCCACACGCAGATGTTGAAATAAATGGAAAGCAAATCTTTTAACAAATTGCCTGCATTTGAACTTGAACCTGATCAAAAGTGATCGCGTGAGCAACTGCTGATCTGTAGGTGACTTTTGCTACCATCAATGATGAACTGCATTTCTAATGTCGGAATGTTTGTGTTAGCACTTCGGATGGCTACCGTATGCTTTTAATGCGTGTGTATGCTAGATATGCTGAAACAGCAGTCTGTCAATCTTTCCACAGGGGACTGTGATAAACATTCTGTGTGTTTTTCGCTGGCACAGGAGCGGAGAAAAGATGGAGTGACCTGTTTGCTATGAAGCTGAAACTAAGACTACCAGACTTCCAGACCAGACTCGAACCTGATATATAGAAATTCTGAAGCTATGTTCACAACACCTAAGATGCCTGTTGCGGTGTGAGAAGCTGACCCATGCCTGTCGGCTCTGAACTGGGTTATGAAGACATCACTGGCATTCATCTTGAATATCCAAAGACATCTGTCTCTGAAGCTCTTCGCTTCTTAGCAACCCTGGATGATCTGGACAAGAGGAAATGCAAATCTATACACACTAGAATAGGCACGACATTTGTTGCTTTTCGTCAATCACATGCCATGAGAAAGGGCACCTCTTTTCATCCGTCATGAAGCCATCGTTGATTGTCTGTAAGTGCGGAGGTGACTCAGAAGCCCTATGTGCGTCTAGAAAGATCTAGGGCGAGAGCATGGAACAGTATCTTTAGGTAAAAGACCTATTATACTGATTTTTCTAGGCTTTATTTACTGTTCATCTTTATTTTTTCTAGATGCCTTGCTAGTCGTTTCGCCTCTTCGGATAGAAGGTCGCCATACCCGGTTTGGTACAGTAGTGTCAATCAGAGTTTACATTGAAAGCGTTAAGTGATGCCTTTAATGTGTCCTTTCTGGCCTCTAGGAGTGAAGGAAAAAGAGACGAACTGGTTTATAGAAATGAGAGGTTGCTCAATGTCGTCGATCTGACTCTCTCGGCTGCGTCCATCTAGATTAAGTGGCAGGTTGATCTCACTCTCCCGCCTGCGCCCATCTGAATCAAGTGGCAGGTTGATCTGACTCTCTCGGCTGCGCCCATCTGAATCAAGTGGCAGGTTGATCTGACTCTCTCGGCTGCGCCCATCTGAATCAAGTGGCAGGTTGATCTGACTCTCTCGGCTGCGCCCATCTGAATCAAGTGGCAGGTTGATCTTACTCTCTCGAATCAAGGTCAAGTCGAATTGAAACAGTAGACGGTAGTACAGTATCGCTGGAAGGAAGATAAGATGGCAGTCACAGATGTTAGTCTTTCTTGTAGGTTTACATAAAACAAAACAAAAACAGCAAGCCGCACGTGATCATATACAATTCTAACTGTTTGCCCCCCCCCCCTTACCCTCTTCTCCCCTCTAGCACATTCGAGAATCTATAAAAGACCGGCCCTACAACTGCGAATGGCTCCAATAGAAGCTCCTATGATTTACATTGTGTGTGCACAGTTTGATACAGCCAGA